ATCAAATAATCATATCACGCATAATATATTGTTCACAAAATTTAATTAAATCAATCTCTGCAAAAGGCCCCCAAGAAACCCCTACCTTGTTTCCAAAGTTAGCTCCAAGTTAAGAAAACACACAAGCTACGACCTCTAACTTCTCCTGAGAATTTGATCACCACTTGCTTTCTCTTCTTTTCTATCTCTCTTTCTCACTTTAATTTTTTTTTCTCTTCTCTTTGCATGCACTACTATGCAATCGTCCTGTATTTTCAAAATCAAAGGCAATGACCTCTATTTATAGTGAATACTAAGGCAGCATGCCAAAAGATCAATGCTTTTAGGATCACCTCCTTAACTAACTTTTCCTTCACTCCAAATTAATAGAAGGATAAGAAGATATATAGTGATGACTTCAACTATCTAATTCAATGACACATAATTAGTTTGCAAGTGGATAAGCAAGTAAACCATAATTGTTTGACACATGTTGACTACGTGGAGTTTAAAAAGAACTCTCATGCATGAATTTTTAATAGCTAGGCATGAGATATTACTAACATTAACTAATATTAATATTAAAAGCCAATTTTGAGAAAATCATCAAAATCCTTTAAAAAGAATGAATTTGCACTAGGTGAAGCAATAAAACATAGACTTCCATAAAATTACATAGACTTCCATAAAATGACTATAATACTATAATTTTTTTTTTTATAAAAGTACAACAATTATAATTATAATTTAATACCTACCAAAGTAATAAAATATTAACATTTTTCAGAATAAGGATTCTCACAATTAGTTTCAAACGGAACCTGTGTTGAAGTGAGTCTCCTAATTAATCAAGGAGATTTATTTCCTTGATTAATTAAGGGATTTACTTTCCTATTTTATATAGTTGTCAAATCATTGTATAATTAGGAGATACTTTCCTAATCCTTTATTGTATCTAATTCCTTGTAAAGCACTCATGTAAACTCTTATATATACCTCCTTATGGAGAAGAATAATACATAACCTAATATATTCAAATCATATTCATATTTTAGCATGGTATCAGAGCAATCGATCATCGGTTGTCTCTAAATTCTCATATCAAATTTCTCATATTCAAATCCAAAACCCTAAATCAAGTTCCTCATATTTAATTTCCTCAAATCCAAATCCCTCAAATCTAAATTCCTCAAATCCTCTTATCAAAATCTCTAAACACATACCCTCAAATCTTAAACACATACCTCTCAAATCATATTCTTATATCAAATTCATACATCAAATTCCTCACATTCTCATATCACATCTTACTTCCGTTGCGATGTCCGGACCCCCTATGATTCTCTCCCTTATTGCAGACTCACAGAAGCATGCGGTCAATCCTGCTATCCCGGCTCCCTGACCTCGTGCTTCTATTGCCACCACCAAAAGTTCTGTTTTTCATACATGCTATAAAAAATCCGCATGGATTATCGACTCGGGTGTTACGGATCACATGACATTTAATCCTGGCCAACTTGTTGATCGCAAATCATCCACTCCGTCGATGGTGTCCAATGCTAATGGTACCCCTCCCCTGTGGTTGGGGAGGGCTCAGGAAAAACAATTGGTTGTGGTACTCGACGAGGCAAACTCTACTACTTAGACTGGGCATCGGATAGTGAGATCAAGATTGGTCAAGCTTTCACAACCAGTGGAACTCGTTCTAAGAGGGAGAGAGACAAAGTTTGGTTATAGCATAAACGTCATGGGCATGCCTCGTTTGGTTATCTTAAGAAGTTGTTTCCATCATTATTTTACAGTCTTGATGTTTCCAGCTTCCAGTGTGATACGTACGTGTGAATTGGCTAAGAGTCATCGTGTCCCGTTCCCATTAAATTCACATAAGAGTTTGGTTCCGTTTTCTCTTGTTCATTCTGATGTTTGGGGACCTGCTAAAATTGCCACTCCGGCAGGAGCTCGATGGTTTGTCACGTTTATAGATGATTGCACACGCATGACTTGGGTGTCCCTTCTCAAAACAAAAGGGGAAGTCAGTTCCAAGTTTCAACAGTTTTATCAAATGGTGGAGACACAATTTCATACTAGAATTCAGGTTCTTCGTTCCGACAATGGCGGAGAATTTCTCAATCTTACCCAGTTCTTAGAAGATCATAGCATCATACATCAACGCTCATGTCCTTACACTCCCCAACAGAATGGGGGTGGCTGAAAGAAAGAACAGACACTTATTGGAAGTAGTTCGTGCCTTTCTCTTTGGCGCCAATATGCCACGATCTTTTTGGGGTGAAGCCGTCGTCTCTGCTACATACCTTATCAATCAGATTCCCTCTAGTATCCTAAATTTCCAAACACCACTTCAAACACTTCACCACCATATCCAAACACCTCCCACCCCAAACCTGGAACCCTGGATTTTTGGTTGTGTTGTATTTGTCCACTTACATGATCACCAATGAAGCAAATTGGATCCCCGAGCCGAAAATGTGTTTTCATTGGCTATGCACCTCATCAGAAAGGATACCGGTGTTATCATCCTCCTAGTCAAAAGGTCTTTACCTCCATAGATGTTGTTTTTCGAGAACATGACTTATATTTTTCAACTACCCATGAGGAGAATCGAGAATCCACCACTGCTCAAATTCTCAATTTTTTTCCCCAGGACGCCACTCTGCATCAACATGATTGTTCAACAGTGGAAAGCAATCGATCGCCAGTGGAAAACAACCGGTCGCCCCCTCTTAGTTCTTCAAATACAGAGAACCTGCTTCAAAACGGTCGGTCGACAGCAGACAGCGACCGGTCGCCAAAGGAAAACGATCAGTTGTCTCCATGCTGTCAAAATTAGGAGGAGGAAATTGAACCGTTTTATGAGATTTTGCCCGCTTCAGCTCCAGTACCACACCAATCACCTGCTTAGGACGTCATTCAGGTAACATTTTTTCCTGAAACTGATAACATTAATGAAATGTCCCATAATGATTTGATTTCAGAGGGCACAGAGCCAGCATATCAGATTCCAAAAAGGAAGAACCGTGGCAAACCTCCAGTCCACTACGAAGCAAATCTTAATGCAAAAGGGAAATATCCCATCAACAATTATGTATCTCTCAATAGATTATCAGAATCATGGGTACACTTTGTGAAGCAGTTGGCCGACATATCTATCCCCAACAGTATAACTGAAGCACTAGAAGACCCCAAATGGAAAGAAGCCATGGATGAAGAAATGCGAGCTCTCCAGAAGAATGGCACATGGGAACTCGTGTCATTACCTCATGGAAAGAAGACAATGGGATGCAGATGGATTTATACAGTGAAACTCAATGCAGATGGATTCATTGAAAGATATAAAGCTAGATTGGTGGCGAAGGGGTACACACAAAGATATGGGGCAGACTACCAAGAGACCTTTGCCCCAGTAGCCAAGATTAAAACTATTAGAGTCCTTTTGTCTCTAGCAGCAAATCTCGATTGGCCATTATATCAGTTTGATGTAAAAAATGCATTCTTACATGAAGACTTGGAAGAAGAAGTATATATGGACTTACCACCAGGATGTAACTTAGCTCGTGACAATGATAATCAAGTTTGCAAGCTCAGAAAGTCATTGTATGGGTTAAAGCAATCTCCCAGGGCATGGTTTGGCAGATTCACTAAATCCATGAAGAATTTTGGATATATACAGAGTAATGCGGATCACACTATGTTCTTGAAGCGTGATGGAAGAAGACTTACTGCATTGATTGTTTATGTGGATGACATAGTCATAATTGGAAACGACGCAGAAGAGCAACTGAAACTGCAAAAGTATTTGTCTTAGGAATTTGAGATGAAAGATTTAGGTGATCTGAAGTACTTTCTCGGAATTGAAGTAGCAAGGTCCACAACTGGTATATTTCTGTCCCAAAGGAAGTATGTATTAGATCTACTCACTGAAATAGGAATGCTTGGATGTAAGCCTGTTGACATACCCATTGAGATGAATCACAAGTTGTGTGAAGACATGGATCAAGAACCAACCAATAAGGAACAGTACCAATGCCTTATTGGAAGGTTAATATATTTAGCCCACACAAGACCAGATATTGCATATGCTGTGAGTGTGGTTAGTCAGTTTATGCATTCACCCAGTGTGTCTCATAGGAATGCAGTTGATCGGATCTTAAGGTACTTAAAGTCAGGCCTTGGGAAAGGATTAATGTTCTCAAAAAATAGAGATCTTGAAGTTGTTGGATATACAAATGCTTATTGGGCTGGCTCCATTACTGATAGACACTCTACTTCAGGTTACTTCACTTTTGTGGGAGGTAACCTAGTCACTTGGCGTTGTAAAAAATAAAATGTGGTTTCTCGGTCTAGTGTTGAAGCAGTGTATCGAGGAATGGCTCACGGAGTTTGTGAATTACTATGGATTAGAAGGCTATTGATAGAATTGGGTTTCAAGCCAGAAAAGCCAATGGAGTTACATTGTGATAACAAGTCAGCCATTGATATTTCCCATAATCCAATTCAACATGATTGAACCAAACTTGTTGAGGTGGATATACATTTTATCAAAGAAAAAATTGAGAAGAAGATCATCCGCCTACCCTTCGTAAAATTAGAAGATCAACTGGCAGATATCTTAACCAAAGCTGTTTGTGGTAGAGTATTTCATGACTCACTTATCAAGTTGGGCATTGGTGACGTATATGCACCAACTTGAGGAGGAGTGTTGAAGTAAGTCTCCTAATTAATCAAGGAGATTTATTTCCTTGATTAATTAAGGGATTTACTTTCCTATTTTATATAGTTGTCAAATCATTGTATAATTAGGAGATACTTTCCTAATCCTTTACTGTATCTAATTCCTTGTAAAACACTCATGTAAACTCTTATATATCTCCTTATGGAGAAGAATAATACATAACCTAATATATTCAAACCATATTCATATTTTAGCAACCTGCACCGGAGAAGACTAAAAGAAGATAAGATAAATCCTCTTCTCTAAAAGGATCACGGTATTTAACTACAGTTATTTTGACTCAATTGTTGATGCTACCTCACATTGCAGGTAACAGCTAATTAGCTCAATTAATCAAATTAGAAGGTGAGTACCTTTTTCTTGGTTTGCTTCATGTTGAACAACGAAAATCCAAAACATTCAACATAAATTTATACTCACAGTAATAATTCTTTAATCCCATGATAATTTTTTTCGGCACTATATAATCTTTGCTTGTTTTTATTTCATTTAGAATGACAGGAGACAAGAATATACAAAAATATTGAACATCAACTAAAGTGCAGAACACAAAACATAGCAGGCACTACTAGGCAAAACAGAGCATCGCATCGAGAAGACAGAACGACTGGTTGGAAGCAAACTTGAAAACGATCTGAGGCCAATGGAAACAAGTTTGGCCATAGAATATGTAGTATACTTGGACGCCATGACAGTCAACTTGCGCAACTGTGAACTACAAAAATGGAGTTTTATATTTCATCTTCACACAAACTAACTACTTAGACTTAATATTATTCAAATAATGTGATTGTGCTGAAATGGAAGATGGCATCAATTGCTCAAACAAAAACAGTATGAAACCATTTTTCGAATAACGAAAATTGTTTCATTATAACGAAGCTAACTTCCTTACAATAATTCAGCTAGAATTTCCTAATCACCAGACACCTGCTCCTGAACAAAATTGCCTTAAGGTCCTAGCTCAATTTTTGCCGAGCTTTGATAGACAAAGGGTCTAAGCTCTATTTTATCGATCTTATACGAACTAAAGGTCCTAGCTTAATTTTTGTCCAGCTCTTATGGATGAAAGGTCCAGGAAGGTCCAAGCTCAATTTTTGTAGAGCTCTAATGGACGAAAGGTCTAAGCTCAATTTATATTGAGCTCTAATGGTTGAAAGGTCTAAGCTCCATGTGTATCGAGCTCATATGCACGAAAGGTCCAGTCTCCATTTTTATCAAGCTCATATGGACGAAAAGTCCAATCTCAATTTTCGTTGAGCTCTGATGGGCGAAAGGAACAAGCTCATTTTTTGGCCAGTCTGATGGACAGAAGGGCCCATCTCAATTTTTGTTAAGCTCTGATGGAAGAAAGGTCCAAGCTCCATGCTTATCGAGCTCATATGGAGGAAAGGTCCAAGCTCAATTTATATCGAGCTCTGATGGAGGAAAGGGCCAAGCTCCATGCTTATCGAGCTCATATGGAGGAAAGGTCCAAGCTCAATTTATATCGAGCTCTGATGGAGGAAAGGTCCAAGCTCCATGCTTATCGAGCTCATATGGAGGAAAGGTCCAAGCTCAATTTATATCGAGCTCTGATGGAGGAAAGGTCCAAGCTCCTTGTTTCTCGACCTCATATGGACGAAAGGTCAATGCTCCATTTTTATTGAGCTCATATGGACAAAAGGTCCAAGCTCAATTTTTGTCAAGCTTTGATGGACAAAAGGTCAAAGCTCTATTTTTATTGAGCTCATATGGACGAAAGGTCCAAGCTCAATTTTTTGTCAAGCACATATGGGAAAAATGTCCCAGCTAAATTCTGTCAAGCTCATATGGACGAGAGGTCCAAGCTCAAATTTTTATCGCGCCTTGATGGACAAAAGGTCCAAGCACAATTTTGTCAAGCGCATATGGGAAAACTGTCCTAGCTAAATTCTTGTCAAGCACATATGGACGAGAGGTCCAAGCTCAAATTTTTATCGCACCTTGATGGACAAAAGGTCCAACCTCAACTCCCCAAGCTCATGCTTAGGTTGAAGATGGTACCCACATCAAATCGCCAACCTCATGCTCAGGTCGGCATGAGACCCACCTCACCTCGCCAAGGTCATGCTCAGGTTGTCAAATAACCAACCTCGTATCGCCAAGCTCATGCTCAGCTTGGAATGGATCCAACTTCAAATCACCAAGCTCATGCCCAGGTTGGTAAGGGACCAACCTCAAACTGCCAAGCTTTCAGGTTGGCAGAAGTCCTTGCCGAGCTAAGGCTCGGGTTTGCAAGAGTCTAACCTCAACATTTGTCGAGCTCAGGCTTAGATTGGTAAGAAGATTGTAGGGGTCTTTTTGTTCCAGCAGCCTGACGAATGGGCTTGGGCTGCCGTAAGAAGAAAACGAACAGAAATTCCCCAAGTATCTGAGTTCAGAAACCAAGCTCCTAAAAGAGTTTTTGAAAGGTTTGATGAAACCTTAGAAAAACACCCTCAGGTTCTTTTCACCAATAGCCAAATAAACATGATAGATTGATTAATGGCTTAGCATGAGGAGCTTGTGGCATGGGAGCTAAGCTTTCACACGTTTAGCAATTTGAGAGAGAGAGAGAAGCACGAATTTCTTATAGAGAACGAAGGTTTGGAGTAGGGCAGAGGAAAATTAGGAGGATTTCTTCCTAATGGGAAGATGAAATAACTAGAGGCGAAAAGTGGGTGGCTTGAGTAAAATTCCCAGTTTGCTTGACAAAGCTTGGTCAGGCTCTGGATGATGATTTTTGCTGGGTAGAAGAAGCTCCCTTTTATAGGCACAAAGAATCCCTAATTTCATCTAACCTTCTTCTCCCTTTTCGTTGCTCCTTCCCACTTGATCCTATTTGATGCAATTTTCCTATTCAAGGCGCATGGGTAAGGAGCCCTTTGTGGTTCCAAGGTTTTGACACAGCTAGTCTTCTCCATAAGGGTGAAGCGCCACCTGCTTTCCCTCTGGTTTTTCAAGATAGAGCTTGCAGTGGAAAAGAAGATGGATAGAGGCTTTTGTCTGATGGGTACTCATGGGTTTCCGTTGGTCTCTGTCATGGCTTCCTATTTGACCATCTTGGCGTCCTAACAAGGGTGGAGCCTAACAAGGGTGGAGCACGGTGACAGCTTTTCTACAAGTTGCTGGGCTGGGCTCGTGTGCAATATTGGGCTGTCAACTCGTTATTTCCAGCGCTTAATGGGTTTTCGCCAAGCTGCTGGGAATAGCCTATTTAATTTTGGGCATTTTATTGATGCTGGCTTTGTCTAAGTGCTATGGCAGACTATTAGATATCTTCCTAAGGCATTGGATCATTTTCTCCCCTCTCTCATGCTAACCCATGTGTTTGAGCTCAAGAAATGGGCTTGGGTTTTGGGGCTCCCAAGCAGCCCAAAACTTCCATTTCTTGGCTCATCAATGGGCCCCATGAAAGCTCGTTACCATCCATACCACAACCCACTCAAGCAAGCCCCGGGCATTTGCGTGGCTTGGGCCCACTTAAATTTGTAGCGTGGCTATGTGTGAAATAATGATTTCCTGCTTGGCATGGCATGTCAATTGGTGTGCTTGAATTTTATAGTCTTTGAAAATAGACATAATGCTTGACAAAATAATTAGCATGAGCTTGTAGAGCCAATGTCTTTTATAGGCTCATTTTAATTCTTAGCGTGATAAATTGCATATTTATTTGGCATGGCACGTGATCGTGGCTCGTGAAAGCGTGCATGACGAATTCCGCATGCTCCGAATCGGGTCTTTTCTTAATAAGGTGTTGCATTAGGCCAAATAATTTATTTGGGCCCAATCCTGGATTTTTTGGGCCTCAACAAAGATCAACCACAAATTGTCAAGCTCAGCCTCATGTTGGTGGAAATCCAACCTCACAACGTGCTGAGCTTAGCCTCAAATTGGCGAAGATCTGACCTCGTGACTCATCAACCTCAATTGAGCTTCCTTCACCAATGTCATCATGATACATGGCGTCTATACCATTAGTCCATTTACACATCAAGTTATATTTCTCCTTTGCATGACAAATTATAACTTTCTTCGCTACTGCCCTAGTCCTTTTGCCACACTTGTTTTTTATGGAGATTTAGGGACTCTTCATGGTGCCGATATGTTAGTTACTACAAAATTTATGATATGATTTAATATTTCTAGCTCGACTAAATTATTAAAATGCAACTCCCCACACAGAACTCTCTTGTTTGGGGATTTAGGGGACTTCTATTTATGAGGTAAAATACATCTAGACCAAGCTCAGCTAAAGCACGATGACAGAGTTGAGTTTAGGCCCATATGGTAGGGATGAGCTCGATGTTAGTGGTCGAGCTAGGCTCGAGCCTGATCGCCATATATGTTTCCACCTTGACCCAGTTGGGCTTGTTGACACATTGGTCCATGGGCTTGGGCTCGGTGTGCATGAGGTTGACATCAATTGAGTTTACATGGTGTTCACTCAAAAGACTCCTAGTCTTATAGATGCTATGATGTTTCAAGATCACCGAGACGCCTACTAAATAGATTCCTAGTCTGAGGAGGACAAGGTTGTTCTGGAGTTGTTTCCCTCTTTTCGGCCGGGTAGGCCGATTGAAGGAGTTTTTGGTCCTTCTTCTTTTTTGAGTGCGGGGCATGCCACCACCAAGCTCCGAATTTGGGCTTGAATGGAATGTGAGTGGATGGATGTGTTGCGTCCGAGATCTGACTTTAATCAAACGATTGTTCGGCCCAGCAAGGAACCTCCTCACGACCTAGGTTCTTTCACTACCTCGGGGTCAAGGCTTTATGTGAGCAACCAAATGATGTGGAGTGGATAGAGATGAAGATTGAAGGTGAAACGTAATGAAACGAAAAATAAGTGCGTAAAGTAAATGTGCTTAAACTTAAATGTAATTTAAAGACAAATGCGTAAAGTAAAGTGCGAAAGATAAATAACGTAAATAGGAGAATTAAAGTGCGATAAAATGAATCAAAGCAATAAATAAAGCAAGAACGAAATGAAAGCGATAAGAACGATAAAGTAAAATGAACTTGAAATTAAACTTAATTGAAGTGCGATAACAATGAAAAGTAAAGCAATTGAAATAAACTTGAATTTAAATGACAAGGTAATGTAAATTGCAAGAATTTAAACTTACACTAAGAAAAGGAAGAACTCGCTACACTAGGTGCATGAAAAGTAAAATCCTAAGTCTAGGAAAAGAAAAGTGCGAGACGAAAGATAAGTTTGTCTGTCTGATGTTGTGTCTTCTATCTTCATTTGGTGAGGTTTATATAGGGCACTCGTCAGCCCATGGGCTGGCCATTGAATGGCCAAAGGTCAACTCTTTATGAAAATCTTTCCTTTCGAAGCTCCCCTAAATCCGTGGGATTGCACTTGCTTGAAATATTCTGACATGCTTGATTCTTTCTTGCTTTGGAACATTCGGAGTTACTATCAAATTCCTTGATTTCTTTCCTTGAGGGCAATGAAGTTTCAATTCAAAGAGCCCAGCCACCGTATTCTCACAAGCCCACTCATTTGATTTCATGCATATATCAATATATGTGTATATAATAAGTCAATCAAACTATCAACTCAAAACCCTTTTCGGCCCAGCTTGCAAACAAACTAAATATCCCAGCCGCCATCTAGCAAGACT